AGTTTTTCTTTGCGCTTTTGTGCTCCAAATTTTGACATGTTGATAGTGACCTGAGTTAAGAGTTTAGCATTTAAAAAAAAAAGCAAAAATAAAGATCGTCTCCTTTTAGAAAAAATGATATTTAGATTTCCCAAAATAAATTTTGTCATGATTAAATTTGTTTAAACGGCAAGTATTGCAAATCAAACTTTGTATTAAAACTCAAATAAAGACAGGCCACTACTGACAGATTTTTGGTAAAGAATGGAGGGCAATGACTCCTTAGTCACAGCACTAACTCCGGTATATTTTAGAATCTTAACTTTAGCTATAATTTCCAGATCAGTAAAATCTTGAATTCTTGAATTCTATTTTTAAGATAGGACTTTGCTTACTGCTGGAATTATTTAAACTATTGCATTTAAACATTAGAAAATTCATTATTGATGAATTTTCTATTGTATTCCTTGAAGGAAATAGAAGGAAAAGAGCAGCAACTACGAAATTTTTTTTTTAGTACTTTAATTTAATAGGTGAAGAGCATTATGATTATTAAAGAAAAAAATGTTTTAAAAAAAATAGTTTGGATTAAACACTTTATAACAATAAAAATATATGTATATATATGTGTATATATATATATATATATATATTTACATATATATATGTATATATATACATATATATATATATATATATATATATATACATGTATACATATATATATATATATATATATATATATATATATATATTATATATATATATATATATATATATATATATATATTTATATATACATGTATATATATATATATATATATATATATATATATATATATATATATATATATATATATATATATATATATTTATATATACATGTATATATATGTATATATATATATATATATATATATATATATATATATATATATATATATATATATATATATATATATATGTAAATATATATATGTAAATATATATATATATATATATATATATATATATATATATATATATATATATATATATATATATATATATATATATATATATGATTGTTACTTTTGCAGGGTTTCAATGCAGGGATATAACTGAATTAGTATTATCACCTTCATTCCATCTAATAGTTAGGAGCCTTAGAAATCTTTCCTATCATGATAGATTACAGTTGCTTGGTATCGAATCACTCGAAGTTCAGCACCTTAAAAACGACTTAGTAACTTGCTTTAAAATTTTTCGTAAACTTGTTTATACTGATCAATCTATGTTCTTTGCAATTAACAATAACAGCCACACCCGGGGTCATAATTATAAAATAAGCAAACAATCTTGTCGCTTGGATTTAAGAAAATATAGCTTTTCTTACCCAGTTGTTGACAGGTGGAACAGTATGACCTCGGAGACTGTAAATGCATATAACATTTTAACGTTCAAAAATAAAATTAAATCTTTTGACTTTAACAAATATCTATTGTAAAAGGAACAACTATTTGTTTCTTTATAGTTTTTTTTTTTTTTTTTTGTAGCGATATTTTTAAATTTCTTAGGGCACGTTGTTAGTGTCCGTCTTTGTATGAGCCTTCGTGTCCTTTAGAATATGTATTTATACTTTGTTCTAATAAATATCAATCAATCAATCAATAGTTTTTCACATTTGTGTCTATCCAATCCGTCACTATTATACCCATACCACATTACTGTATTTTTGTCAATTATTAATAATATTTTCAAAGTGTTATTTTCATTCAGTCATTTAGTAGTAAAAAATACGACTTAAATATACTTATTTAAATATTAACTTATTTAATTATTAATTTATTTATTATTAACTTATTTAGATTTTTTTTTTTTGAAATAATCCACCTTATTGAAAAGAATATATATAATTTGCAGTAACTTTAAAGAAACTTTTATTGTTGCGGTAACTTTACAGAAATAGTTTTAATCGACTTTTTTGATCAAAAACTCCGCTGTGCGTTGTAGAATACATACAGGTGCGTAGAAAGGGGGAAAGAGGCCTGAATTAGTGGTTATGCTGTGTACTTACTTTATGGATGTCCATTACCACTTTAAAAAAATCAGAAAAGTTTCTTTTTGGTGAGAATTAAAAATGAAAAAGATGAAAAGTTGAGTCCAACTAAATACAAACTTTTTATTTTATTTTAACAAGAAGCCAAAAAAGCTTTTTTGTTTAGAATTTTATTTGGATATTTTTGCATTAGAAGTCATTTATTTTGGAGATTAAATTTGAAAAATGGAGATTAAACTATTTGAAAAATACTTATTTTAACTCTTTAAAAAATTCAAAATTTTGATATTATGATTTTTTAAATCCCCATACATTAGATAATTAAAGCAGTTAATTTTTTTTTTAATCTATGTGAAACTTATTTTTAATTAAATTGCTTTTAAATTAATGCTCAGTATAAAATTAAAACGTTTAAAAATCGTATTATTACTTTTTATTACATTTTTAGACATATATTCTGTACTGGAATTACACAAAACGCTTTTTAAAAAAGTAGCATTACTTCTTATGATTGTTTTCAATAAGAAAATTTTTATTTAAATTATCAAAAATATTATGTATTTATATAAAAACGATTCTTATTATATAATATTTATATAATAATATATCTTATTATATAATTATTATATAAAATTGTATTAAAACAGTTTTTGCGATTAAATTTATAAAAAACGACGCGATTGTGTCTTTAATGAACTTTTTTTGAATTCTTTTTTTATGAAATTATTACTGTTAAAGACATAACAAAATCATATAAAAACTTATAAAATAAAAAAAACTATATATATAAGTCTGATAATTTGATTATAAGTTTGATAATTTAATAACATGTGTTCATTTATTAAATATTCATTACAACAAGTTATTGCTTTACAATATAAAAATTAGAGAAGATTAAAGTTTCAAAGTTATTAATTGCAAATCTTATCATATTATAAATGTAATGTGATAAATTTTCTCGTAGAATTATCACTGTGTCGCTGAACAAACTTTAGGTTGAAAAAAATTGTACAGAAAAACTGTTTACATATATTGTTAGCTTTATATCTGGCGACTCCAAAATTGTATACCAAAAAATTGTAACATTCCGTCCCTAATGAAATATGACATTTTACAAAAAAACAACAGTATTTTGCATATATTTGGATAGGTTTTGTTACTATTATTAGTGATTTTAATAATAAATTAACAATAATAATAACTATTCTTAATAACAATCTAAACAGTTTCATAATATATCATTGTACAGTTAAACCCTTTCATTATTATATGTCAAAATAACACCCATAAGTTTTTTCTTGTATGAGTCATGATGATAGTCTTTGGGTAACCTATACCTTGACATTTTTGAAAATTTCGAATGAAGAGACTCTCCTGCTTGCTCACTGGTGAGTCCAAGAGCCTCACAATTTTCTGCGCAATATGATGTTATATGGCTGAACAAGATATGAAGTTTTGTTGACTTAGTTGATAATTTTAAAGCGCGAAAATAATGTTCAAAATTTTTTATATCAGTATCAAAACCATTTGCTAAATTCTTTCCAAATGTTGACTGAGATAACACATCAAAAGCATCCAATGCATCACAAAACCCATGAAGATTATCTGAAAGATTTTTTCTCAGTTCTTTGGATAGTTTGAGTAGCCTTTTACACTGGGGTCCTGTCATTTTAAAGTAAAAAAAAATGTATATTTCAACAATTTATTAACAAGAAAATTTTTATTTTCGAATAATATATTAACCTTCAAATTCCCCTCCATGATACTTTGCTTTCAAAAGACCATGTTTTTTTAAAAAAGGTGTCCATTCGTTAGCTCCCCAGCTGTGAGCTAATGCATTCCAGATAATGTTGACACAGCCCTAATAATATTAATATATAAGTTTGAATAAAAATTTAAAATATAGAAAATTATTTTAAAGGTATTTACTTTATCGACTTCATATTCATTATGCAATATAAATAGTTTTTATTTTAGATATTTTACAGAAAATTTTAAAAACATTTACAGTAAAAATGTGTAATTCAGGAATGCTGTAAATGTCTAGAATCCTGGTTGAATCATTTCCTACTAGTAACGAAAAATTCATGCAGTTGTTAAAGTCTTTTAGCTTCGAATCCTTTTTCCCAGCTGCTATCCAGGCTAAATTGTTTTCTTTGAGTGATCCAAGAGTTCTAACTTCGCCAGATACAAACAAGAGATCTTCCATGTCAGAACTCTTATTGCAAAAACAACAGGGGTGTTTTGCACCTAATTTGTAAACCCAAAATTAGCATGATGTACAATAATATAATAAATGTTTAAATGGAAAATTTTATTTAGCTATCATACAGAGAAATTTTAAATAAATAAATTACATAGAATACAGTGTTTTTAATAAATGATTTGAAATGAACATATAATAAAGTTATAAACAAATTTGGAGTTGCCAGACATAAAGCTAACAATAAACAGTTTTTCTGTACAATTTTCAACCTAAAGTTTTTTTTTTCTGATTAACATCTGATTAAAAGTTCATTCAGCGACACTGTGTTATAGGTGTTGTGTCTTACTTTGGTTAAGTTCTCTTTTAAATTTTTATTTTTTATGAGTTTTTCTTTTTTAGTTTTCTCTTAAGTTGAGGTTTCTTTCATTTTTTAGTTAAGGTTATTCTTTTTCTTCTGTATTGTAAAACTTAGTTTATTTAATGCATTATAAAAACGAGGAGTTTTTGAAAACTTAGTCGGGAATATCGTGCAATCACACGTATTTTATGCCCAAGACACAAGAAGACTGGAAACTATGTGCAAGAATGATTAACAATTAATTAAATACTCCTTAAAAAAACTGTGGTGACATTTAGTCGATCAATTTCTAAGAAGAACTAGTTGACCAAATTATTAAAAATAATCAATTAATCAAACTTTTTCACAAATTATTTGATTAAAATCAAAAGAATCAGTTATAAAGATTATTGTGCATTGTGTTTCATTTATTTTACTAGGAATGCGGTGTAGAATTGACGCAAAGTGATAATACGCTGCCTGTAAGTCCATTTATTATCTTGTATTGTATTATTTTTCAAATTTGATTTTGATTTTTATGTTTAATTTTAAAAAGTTTACTTTCTTGTTCATACTTTAAACGCAACACATTTTTAACCCGCCATCCTACCCTGCTGAAACATTTCTATGTGGTATTAAATGCGATAATATTTTAAATTTTTCTTGGTTAATTTTAATAAACTAATACATTTCAATACATGTAAACTAATTTTTCTGGTTTAATATTATTTTTTGCACTCTTATATTTCCAAATAAAATGATAAATTAACAGTCACTAAATGGACAAATGTCTTCTGAGGATATTTGATTATTATAATTTTAACGTCTAAAATTAATAAGTTAGTAAAGTGACTTGGATACAATGATATAAAGATATCTTTCCGTACATCAAAACTTAGGAGCTTTTCCATTTCCTATCGTAGCCCAATGCTATTGTACCATTTTACAAGCCTGAGTTGTAAACTTAAAGAAGCAAATACCTCTCAAAAATTTAAAAAGAACATAATCGAACTATTGCCAATCAAGATTCTGTACATGATTTTTTCTAACAATACACTTTTATTTCCAATTTTTAATACCAATGGTTACTGATGATAAGATTTTATCTTCTTCAGGTTCCTTGGTCTCGTAACTACTATAAATAATGAAATGTACTTGTATTTAATATTTTTAAATATTTTACCTTTAATTGTATATGGTTGCTTGAAAAAAATAAATAAATATAAAATATAATAATATCTAGATATCGACGAATTTAATTTTAAGTAATGCTTTAGAAGCTATTATTTAATTGAAATGAAGGGAGATTTATTTGCTGAGTTTATTTATAGCAAGGTAAACAAATTTTGTTTTTCACAACAAATGATCAAATTTTGGTACTGGGTTCACTTGTATTCGTATTGTTGAGAGCTCATTTTTTCCTAGAATATCTGTAGATAAAACAAAAATTGACGGCACAGCATTCACTTTTAAAATGGGCTTATGATGATGATCATCAAAACTTGCAATATTTTTTGGGATACAATTGTTATAGTTTAATTCTAAAAAATGCTCAGCAACAATCTATCTTACACAGATCAGAGTTCTTAGAAAAAAAATTTATGAAAGGATTTTGTGCTGTTTTTTGCATATTTTATTAATTATCCATATGCAGCGCAAGAGTTAACCATTTTATAGCGAAATGGCCAAAGGAATCAACTAATTTTTATAAAAGATTTAGCAAGGTAAATTAAATGTCGGGGATTTTCTATCCATATTATGTAGTATTGACTGTTTTTGCCTGGCATAATATCGACCGATTAAAAATTTAAATGAAAAAATTAGATTCGCGTGGAGTTTATAAATCGTCGGCCCGGGATGCAATTGTCGTATCGCAAATTTATTAAAACTATATATAAATATGTAAAACGTAATTTATGTAAGTTTAAAGTTATGTAAATGTAAAAAATTATTTAATATAAATTATTTAATATAACGTTTTAAAAAAAACTTTTTTCGTTAATATATGATGTTAAATTTACATATATTAGATAATTACATATTTATATATAACTTTAATAAATTTGCGATACGACAATTGCATCCCGAGCCAACAAAATAAACTCACTTTTAGACATCATTGCTTGGATATCACTGATAATGTCCGAGCAAGGATGTCTAAATTTGAGTTTTTTTATAAACTCCAAGTGAATGATGAGAAATGATGTATAAGAGTTGCATTTTTAAATTGTGGATTTGTATGTTTTTATTCTTCTAATATTTTATATTTCATTTCGAAGTATACGTTTTATACATATTGATTGTTAATGTTGAATAATCATAATTGTATTATTATTAGTTTTTCTAAAATTATTAATATTAACTATTTCTTCATTGATGATAAAACTGTGGACTGTGGCTACCACGCAGACTAGAGTTTCATCCAATGAAATAAATTGCATATGCGGCAGAGGTTTTTAATCAAATAATGCCCTCCTTTTTCTTTAAAAAATCATCAAAAAGCACTAAAAAGTAACTCCTTATCCACCCCTCCCTCCCTTATTGCGTGACAATTGCTTGATAATTTAGTCAATTTCTAAGCAAATAAGGTTGCTACGAAAAAAAGACTTACTGCGCTACCATTCAAATTTAGCAAAATTTTTTTACTTACTGAAAAATAAATGAAAGGAAAGTGAAATAATATTATCAAAATAATCTTTAACACGTGCAGTTTAGTTAAAATATTTTGAAGCCAAAGCATTTGCACTTTCCCAGTGGGCACAGACGTAAAAAAGACGTATTTTAAATGTCTTATACACGTTTTGGATGTCTTTTGAACGTCTTGTGAACGTTTTGGACGTCTTTTGAATGTTCAAAAGACGTCTTTTTTTTGTCCGGTGTCCACTGGGTTATATCTACAACTCGATGTTATTATAGTATTAGACAGAAGCTTGCGTTGGTCTAGACATTTATATTATCTAATTAATGTAAATTTTTGTATTAAGTTAAACTTTATAAAAAGATTAACTTTAATGAGGTAATAAACCTGTTGCAAGTTTGCATTGTTGAAAAACCCTAACAATAAGTGCATCAATACATTCAGTGTTTATTGCTTTGGGAATTTCCTCATGCAAAATAGTGCTTGCAAATTAAATGCACATGCTTGTTTTTTTTGTTATACACAGTGGGCACCGGATCAAAAATGGTGGTAAAGGTTTTCTTAAGTTTGTTTAAGCACAGTTAATGCTGCGTTAAAGGTTGATACTAGCTCACCGCCTCACTTAAAGGACAGGCAAAGACACTGGAGTTAAGAGACAAATTCTTACTGCGGTGTTAGAAGATTTGCTAGAAACTCATCACAAAATTTTTGTAATGAACATTGAACTAGTAAAAACCATTCTTTTATTTCAACATGAACATTTAACTTCAACATGAACATTTAACTTCAACATGAACATTTAACTTCAACATGAACATTTAACTTCAACATGAACATTTAACTTCAACTTGAACATTTAACTGGAAAAAGAATGGTTTAACTTAAACCATTCTTTTACTAGTTAAATGTTCATGTTGTTAAAAAGTGTTATAACGTTATTATGAGAAAGAAATAAGTTAAAATCATCAGCAAACATATTTGTTGTTAGGTTAGAAGCTTTCGATAGATCATTAATATATAATAGAAATAGGAGAGGTACAAAAATGGATCCTTGAGGAACTCCACACTCCACATTCAACAAATTAGATGATATATTCTCGTCCTCATAAATAAATTGCTTTCTATTACTTAGATAGCTTTTTAGCCAAATTAAAATATTACCAGTAATTCCGTACCATTCTAACTTTTTAAAAAGAATTTCGAGATCAATAGTATCAAAGGCTTTAGCCAAATTAATAAAAATACCTAATCTAAATTGATTTTTTTCAAATGAATCAGAAATATTTCTAGTAAATTGAAGAATTGCATGTTCAATAGAGTTGTTTTTTCGAAATCCATTTTGATTACTGCATAATAAATTGTTAATAGTCAGTTGGTTATAAGTTTTGTTGTACAAAATTGTTTCTAAAACTTTAGAGAATACTGAAAGTATTGAAATCGGACGATAGTTACTAATGTTTTCAATGTCACCACCTTTTAATATTGGTATACTACTTACTTTTTACCTACTACTTTGTTACACTTTAACATTTTAAAGGCGTTTTTAAATTCCTCAAAAGATAATTTGAAAGAATCGAGGTAAGAATTTATTGGGAAACTTAGGTCTTTTATGAAAGTGTTAGGTTTAGGAATAAGTTTGGCAAGATTTGGCCCTACAGACACAAAGTATTTATTAAATTCTTCTGCAATCTTTCTTTTATTTTATAAAAACTCATTAATAAGTTTAATTGTACTAAGAAGAGACCGTGATTTGAACTTTTTGCTGCCAGTAACTTCTCTTATTATAAACCATGTACGTTTAGAATTTAGGGTATATACAAGTAAATTTGTGTAACAATTTTTTTTTTTTTTTTCTTGAGATGAATCAAATAGGTTAGCCTTATTTTTATATATAATTTTATTTTTATTTATTTTAGTTCTCAAGTATTTAATGTATAATTTTTGTTTGATTTTAGAAGACCTCCGCAAACCCTTTGTAATCCAGGGCGATTTAATACTTTTAGCTTTGAGATATGAACTATCTTAAGGGAAATTAGTATTGTAAATATCATAAAACATTTAAAAAAAGGAGTTGTAAACTAAGTCTGCATCATCAGAAGAGTTAATACTATTTTAATGAATTAGAGATAATTGCTTTTTAAAAGAATCAAGGTAATTTTTTGAAAAATTGTGTTTCTTAAAAACTAGTGTTTCGTTGGATAGAAAATTTGTATTAACAGTTTTAGAAAAGAAAATAGGAAAGTAATCAGATATGTCATTTTTAATTATCCCCTTTTTTATAGATTCTTTAAAAATATCCGTGATTAAAATATTATAAATTAAAGAGGAAGTTGATAGAGTAATTCTGGTAATCAAAAGAATTTCTCCATTTTCAAATATGTCATTATAAAACCTTTTAATGTTATTATTGACGTGATATTGAAAATTTTCAATATCAATAATAATCAACATCAATAATAACATTAAAAGGTTTTATAATGACATATTTGAAAATGGAGCAATTCTTTTGATTACCAGAATTACTTTTTATTTTACTTTAAAATACTTTTTATCAGAATTTTTTATTTTTTTATAATTTTGTCTAAACTAAAGTTTAGACAAAATTATAAAAAAATAAAAAATTTTACTTTACAAAGTAAATAATTATTTAATTACAAGCATATGATAAACTATGTATTTGTAGGATTTTGAATGAATACTAATAATGTTAATTTATTGAACTCAAAAAATAAAATTTATATGTGTAAATGGTTGCTAGAAACGGGTGCTACGAGTGCCCCTGAACTTAATATTTATTAAGTATACGTAATGTATATACTTCTATGGCTTTCCTGACTTCACTTCACTTCTCAAAATAAATAAAATTTATATATATAAATGACTGCTAAAAACGAGCGTCACAGATACCTCTTTTCTAGTGTCCAAATAATAATAATGCGCGGTAAAAGAATCTAAATAGGGGAAAGGCGCCTATGATGGCATACTTAACTTAACTTTAAAGCTTACATACTTAACTTTAAAGCTTTGTTATTCAGTATCCTGAAGACTAATAATAAAAGTTTTGATATGGATACATTATTTGTTACATGTAGAACAATAATAATCTTGTTACATTATTTGTTACATGTAGAACAATAATAATCTTGTTACATTATGTGTTACATGTAGAACAATAATAATCTTAGGAACTTTCATCACTTTTATTTTTTTATTAGTTATTTTTATTTAAAAAAAAAAGCACAAGTATGCCATCATAGACAACTACTGCTCCTATGATGGTACAGGGGAGAATGGGGTTGGTTAACATCAAGGGTAACTTGACCATTTCATTTGACCTTAGAGTCTTCCCTCAGAAATGCCAGAAACTACACGTAATCATCCTAATTAAACCATTTGTGCAACACAGCAGCAGTGTCAAATTTCGCCCATGCACATAAGAGATATTGCGTTTTATGAGTTTTTTGAACCATAAATTTTTTAGTTAAGTAAAAATTCCTTTTTACTTCAATAACAAGTATGCTATTTTTATGAAAAAAAAAAGGTTTTCTCCACTCCTCAATTTTGTAACACACCTAACTCGTCAGTATGCAATCATAGGAAGAAGTCATCATTTTCATTTAAACAAGCTGTGTCTGCCATATTCAAAAGATAAAATTAAAGTAACTATTCTACTAAATGCACAAGACTTAAAAATATCTGCACAGTTATTATTAAAATCACAATATTAAATATTTAAAGGGATTAAAAAATACACATCCCAAAATTGATTTTTCTTGATTATAAAAGCAATATTTGTGCATAAAGGACGTATTTTTACTAAAACTAATATTAAGTCAGTAAAGACATGTTGGTCTAATCACTTTTTTGCCATAACCAAAATTTATGAAAATATTTCCGGTATGCCATCATAAGCGCTATGCTGTCATAGGCGCCTTTCCCCTACTTTAAAACACAATAGCTTTAGGACTTTGAAATAGTAATAAAACACACCAAACTTATTGTAATTGTTTTTTATACAAGCAAACAATACAATAGATATTGTAATTGTATTACATCACAGCAATGCATTACAATAGTTTTAGAACTTCAATGTATTGTTAGAAAAAAACATTACAATAGTTATTATAACTGTTACAATACAATAACAATAAATATTGTTTTGATTACATCTCTGGTATTACAATACAATATTATTGTATTGTTATGTGTTATTGGATTTAATTTTTACAATTACAATTACAATAGTCCAAACCCTATGCCTGGTAGTATATATTAAACTATTTCTAACATAAATAAGAACGTCTTTGTAATCTGTAAAGAATCTGTAAAGTAGCCAGCTGCCCTTCACATTTAACTGAACCCGTATTATAGGGGCCAGTTCAAAGGAAATGAATGCCGGAAGCGTCTTAAAGGTGAATCAAGCAATTTGCTAATGAAATTTCGGTTTCTAACATTCTTCACATAATTGAAGAATTCAAAAGTCTCAACATAGTTGTAAAAGCGTGCTTTGGATTTATCCTTCAGCTGTATGTTGCTAAAAATATTGAAAATTTCAAAAGTGTTACTTAATAATGGCTGGTGCAAGCGTAATACCCAAAGTTCACACCGTCTTCTACCACATTAAAGATTCTATCAGTCGCAAAGGATCTCGTTTGGGGTCCTACAGGGAACTAACTGTCAAAATTGACATTTATAAAAATTGACATTTATAAAAAAAAAAAAAAACTGATCTAAAAAGTAAGCATCTTTAAAGTAAATATCTTTAAAGAACTTCTGTCTGTATTCGCTTATTAGTTCGATTTATTACATTAGGCAGCAGAAAATCATAGCTTACGGTTTATAATGAACATTTGAACCATTTTAAACCATAACTGCTGTTAGTAATTATGAATTTTAATATTGCAGTTAAAAAAAATTGAAGAGAATATTAAGCTATTTTAAATGAATTTCTTGTGGAGAAGATTGAACACCATATCTTACAATTTAAACAGGTGCTGTTTGATGGTAATATAATGTAAAAATAGGGTATATATAGTTTTTTTTTTCATTTTATTTTGAAAGTCAATGTGTTTAAGAAGGTTTCAAGGGCTAACAAAAGTTATTTTAACAGAAGCATTTTTTTAGTTACTGAAAGTGCTTTTGCCAGGTTTTGCACCTTTTTTAGCCCTTTTTTTTTTGTATTTTGGCAGTAGTATAAATACTTTAGGAAATATTGAGATTTTTACGCTATGCATAAGCCAATGCAAACCATGCTTCAAATAGAAAATTAATTTTTTTTTCTATATAATGAAAATGGTAAACATAACAATAAAGCAATTATAATAAAGATTGTTGATTTAACATAGTAAAACACTCATCTTACCATTTTTTTGAAAAAAGTGTTCGAATATCACAGTAATCAGTAAAGTTTTGAGGTCTAAGTAGCAAAAAAGTAACAAAATATAAACTAAAACTGTCTTAAATCCCTAACCAGTTAACAAAGTTGACTAAAATTTTATTCAGTGTTAGGTGTGGTCATATGCTACCTCTCCCCCAATTTTTATCAAATTATATGTATTGGGTCTTATTCTATAGGTGTTTTTATTGTTGCACAATAAAGTAAAAATTTCGCACAATAAAGTAAAAATAAAATAATTGTTGAAATAAAAACTAATTGTTGATTTTTTAATATATACTTACTAGAATCTTAAGTACTATAACAACAGTGCAGTAAACTTAACACGTAAAGAATCCTTCAATAACAGTGTGAGAAGTTCGATTGATAAAATATCAACTAATGCCAGTGAAGTAAGTTTAACGCATAAAGAAGAAAGTGGTGTTGTTTTTAAACTTTCTAAAAAAAGTTTACCTATAAAAGAGTTCAAGTCAATTGTTTGGATGATATTTGTTGGTGATGGCATACATAATTTTATGGATGGGGTTGCTTTAGGTGCAGCATTTTCAGATCCTCTTGGTATAACTGGAGGTGTCAGCACATCAATTGCAATTTTGCTACATGAAATACCCCACGAGTTGAGTATGTTCAATTTGTTTTATTATACAAAATATAAAATTTATATATTATAAAATTATTAATCATTTTAAAGCATAACATAATTTTATTAAAAAACAATATCTTTTTATTAATAAATAATTTTTGCTTTTTAGGCGATTTTGCTATTTTGATTACAGCCGGATTATCAATAAAACAAGCTCTGGCTATGCATTTTATTTCTTCAATCACTGCATATGGTGGCGGTTTTTTAGGTGTTTCTCTTGGAACTGATTGGAACGCTGGACCATGGATATTCTCTATTACTGCTGGTTTATTTCTTTACGTTTCGCTTGTCGACATGGTAGGTTTTTTCTTGTATGGTGTTAATTATTTTTTACTTTAGATAAAAGTCTCAAGGAGTAAAAGAAGAGAGTTTACTGAAAAAAAATTCTCTCAGAAGTCTAAAGAGTATAAGTTTAAGTAATTTAGAATCCTACAAATAATGCACAGTTAAAACATTCCATTATATTAGGCGTGGTTGTCGTGTTTATGAAGATAAGTAGATAAGTATATAGATAAAATATGTAGACAAGTCTTAATTGAGTAAAATATAGTCTAACATTTTTTATTTCTGTGTTAAGACCCATTCATGGGTGTAGCCAGGATGGAATGGGTGGTATAGACGCCTCCCCTTATTTTCCAAACAAAGTCTTGTATTTTTTCCATAGATTTTTAATTTTTTTTTAAAATTTATATTGTAGACTAACGACTATAAGTTTTATATTTTACACAGGTTTACAACATTTACTCATCATCAGCTCTTTCTTTTTTTTTCTACTTGTTTTCTACTTAATTTTTTTTTTCTGTACTTGTATCTAATTTGAGATTTGTGTCGACATTATCAAAATTTAGAAATAGTTCTTCCAAAGTATTATTCATTAGATTATTGACAATCAACATTTTGATTATTGACAATCAACAATTGGTATATTGTGTGGTAGGCAATGGTTTTAATACAACCTCAAATCCATTTTGTTTTTCTTATGCTTGAGGTTAATTTATTACTTTTAAACCAATTTGATACTTTTTGCAGCTCAGCATTCATAGTCAAAAAAGTTAGCAAATATTATTACTAGAGAGAAACAAAGTTATCATCTACAAATATGATGCTTTAAAGATTGGAGGCTTTATAAAAGTCATTTACGTAAATCAAGAACAAAAAGACCTAGAATAGAACCTTGCGAAACACCACAGAATATTTCTAAATATGTTTTTAATATATATCATTATAATTACCAAATGGTTTTCGATTTGATAAATAACTTCGAAGCCATTGTAAAACTCTACTATTTATTCAGTTTATAGAGCAAAATATTGTGATCTATAGTATCAAACGCTTTAGATAGATCAATAAAAATGCCTAATGTAAATTAAGAATTTTCAAAAGAATTGGAGATTTTGCGTACAAATTGATTAATTGCATGTTCAGTTTAGTTATTTTTTTTAAAACCGAATTAATTTTTGTATACCAGAATATTGTTATTGAATTTATTCAGCATTTTATGATACATGATTTTTTCTAAAATTTTTAAGAAGGTAGAAAGGGCAAAGATAATTCGGTAAATATTAATATTAGTTCTGTCACCTTTAAAAATTGAAATAATTTTCGAAATTTTTAATCGATCAAAAAACATTTCTTGATCAATGCATGCTTTAAAAACTTTAAATTGAACAACTTTTAATTGTTCATAACACTCTACAATTATGTTTCTATTAATTTCATCAGCCATAACTGCTTTGTTTTTTTAATGAGATTTGTAATCTTTTTCAAGCTTTTCAACGGATAAATCAGAAATTAACTCATTATAATAAATGTAATTATCCTTAGGTATAAGAAATTATTTAATAAGGCTTTGGTGTTAGAATTTTTTTTTAACATGTTTCGAACTAATTTTAATAAAGAATTTGTTAAATTCTTGAGCTATAATACTAGGCTCATATATGCTTTTGTTATCAACTCTAACCCTCTGAGGTAATGAGTTTGAACAAGATTAATGTCTTCCAGTGATTTCTTTTATTTTATGCTAAGCGTGTTGGAAGTTGTTTTTATCTTTATCAAGAGGTTTTGAGCAGTAATTTTTTTTACTTATTCTGAACATTTTTAAACAAATATTTGTAGTCTTTGTATGCTTTTTCAACCGCGTTTCTTCAAGTTTAGTAACTCTACTTTGCAAACTAATAAGTGATTATGCTGTGATCAGAAGCCAATTATATAGAATTTTTGTTCTATCAGTCCATCTTCCGTCCGTCATGTATATATATATATATATATATATATATATATATATATATATATATATATATATATATATATATATATATATATATATATATATATATATATATATATATATATATATATATATATATATATATATATATATATATATATATATATAAGAAATGTTCGTGTTAAAATTTAAAAGATAATTACAAGGTTAAAAAATAAAAATAAGTTAACAAAAGTAAGAAACTTAAGATAATCCATAATAAATACAAGATGCGTTTTATCTATTATATATGTAAATTATAGTTGTTAAGGATACACATGTACTTTTTATTGGTTCATGTTTGAATAAATGGTAAAAATAAAGATCACAAAAAATATCAGAAGTATATTGTTAAATCATCGATTGTAAAAATGAGTTCTTTAAACTTTTGTTTAAAAGAAAAATAGTTAATTTGATTAATGAAATCCTAAGTAAAATTTTTTCAAAACTATTTTATTCCATAAGAATGGTCCGCGATATATATATAATATGATTTTTTATAACATATATGTTTTTATTAGGTTTTTATATGTTTTAGATTTTTATTATAGTTACCTCAAATACTTCATAACGAATTATTTAAATCGAGACCATTATCTACGGCAATCCTTGCTTTATTTGGTATGCTCTTTGGTTTTGGCATTATGTTTTGTTTGGCTGCGTTTGAAGAATCTATCATCGAAGGCTTATAAAAATGCAACTAAAGACTCTTTAATGAAGATATTTGCTGAATCTTTTCCGCCTTAAACTTGTAAAAACATCCACGTATTAACTTTTCATACGCTACTTTTCTACTACTGCTAAGCTCTTAATGTGGAATGGTCGTAAACGCGCTATAACCTAACTTTTTTGCGGGTGTAGATGGTGACCATCCATGATAATTTTTTTTCTACTAAAAATTTGTTATCTTTAGGATAAATAAATATGTGTTGTTGTTTAGAATCCATTATTTAAATAAAAAACTTGCCATAATGTACTTGTATGTAATAACGAGATATCTCACAAAAAACTGTAATATTTATTTAAAGAAAAATTTTTAACAATATTTTTATCTCAATTATACACTCGTCATAAAATTTTAAAATTTGTTTGAAATTTTTATTTGACTGTAAATTATATAATTGCATAAATATTATATCATTTTCACAATAATTTTAATAAAAATGTTATTTTTTAAACATATATTAATTTTGTATGACCAAATGAATTGGTTTAAGTAAAAATAATTCGTATGTCTATTATCTATAATTTAATTTAATTACAATTTGGTATAAAATCTTTACTGATGTTAAAGACATTAGTTGTCTTGTATAATCTGACACCAATAAGACAATAACGACAATGTACATTTGATTGGACAGCTGCTATAAGAACTTAAACGGATTAGATGTTCTTGGTTACATATATTCCGAGAGGTTATAACCGTGGCTGTAATTGTTTGAATTTGAAACTGAACTTGCTACTGAAAGAAAACGTAAGACGGAGGACTTTCACGAAAAGGTACCATGATGAGGTACCTATTTCTACAAAAAGCAAATGAAAGAATTTGAAATGAACGTTTTTGCTATTTGTTTGAAAACTCTTATTCAGTAGATTGATTCAAAATTCGAGGTTAGCAGAATGGTTGGTGATATGTTTTCATTTATCGGGTTAGATAACCATTATCTTTCCATTCAAGAAAACAAAGCGATCTTGCTTGCATAATAGGGTACATCGTACTTTCAAAATTTTTGATTTTTAATCTATCGAAAAACTTTTATCTTGCCATTATATGTAACCAATGACTTTTGGTAAAAAAAAGGGAAAAAATATTTTTTTACCTATGCGGGATTGCGGTTTTTGCAAAGGTAAAATTGATTATTTATGCATAAATGCAAGTGTGGTTAAAATTTTTAAATTATTAAAATCTGAAACTTTTTTAATATATTACCATATGCTATAAAACGTGAATAATTGTATATATATATATATATATATATTTCTCCGTACATTTATATAATGGACTGGATTTTCAAGACTACTTAAACTACCTGCGAACGTTGCTGAGGGTGAACAATCGTTCAGTAAATTAAAAATTGTAAAAAGAAAACTCTCCGTTCATGCATGGTCAATCTTTTGATCAATTTGCTTAAAGAAGATTAAGCAAAAAAGGTAAGTTACGGAAATCTCATTGATATTTGGGTAGGCTGAAAAGCTCAAAATGTTTCTCTTTAAGCACCTTATTCACCTTTATCAATTTTTTTATTGATTGTCCTTTCCTTTATTGGTTTAAAACTAAAATCTTGATTCAAATATTAGCTGTAAATCTTTTATTAATTCAGAGAATATTTTTTTTCAATTCTGATTCACTCCCAACAAGGTTGCAAGCAACCACTATTTGGGAGTTACTGGAAAATAAAATAGAGTTAAAGAGCGTGCAAACGGTTGACCGAAAATCAAACTATTATTATACTATATTATACTATATACAACTTTATCAAACTATTATTATTTGATATACTCCATTTTATAAAAAATGTAAGAAATAGCTTATTGAATTTAAAAAAAATATGTTTTTTCATTATTTTTTGTCCATAAAACTCCTATATTCAAACGTATTTTAGGCGTCTATTATAGGAATATTATACTTATATAAAGCGTTTAGATTTGTCTAATTTACGTTTAAATCTAGTCTAATTAACGTATATAAAACTTTTACATTTAGTCTAAGTAAACGCGTATTAAACTTTTAGATCTTGTCTAATAGTTTTTATGATTTAGTTAACGGAATTTCACTTTATTTAAGTTTTAAAACTAATATAAATAAAATTACGTTATAACTTTATACAAGTAATAAGAGCTATATAGGTCTTAAAATTTATAAATAAGATATAGTTATAAAAGATCTAGTCTTATTTTTTATATTTTTTACTATTATAATATGTTTATAAACATTTATACTATACTACTTATACAATACTTTTATATTATAAAACTATAAATAAAGTTATAGTCTTATAAATAACGTTTTCATATAGTGGGGATTTTGAGAAAAAGTGTTTGTGCACTATGCTTGTTTATGTTTCGATAATTAAAAAAAATCCTGATCTGTTATAAAACTTAAGAAAAAAGTTCTTGCAACAGATTACTAAGGTAGATTAGTGACTTCCATGAATTAAAATGGCGTACCCAACACTCGTTTATTATTATTTATCAGTTGTTTTGCTTTCAATTTTTGTAAGGAAATAAATCTTGAAAAGTCTAATTTAATTATTCAGCCAATAAAAAAAAAATTTTTAACAAGTTTTTTATTTTCGTTTTAACTATGCTTATTTAAACCGCGTGACTTAAGCTGTTATGTGAGTCTTCTGACATATGGCTATATTACTATACTATAATATAATAAACGTTTATTAAACGTCAATCAAACGTTTAGAATGACGGCTTATATTAGTCAATATTGTAAACGTTTGATCGACGTTTAATAAATGTATATATATTCAAAGATTTAAAGCGTAGGTTTTAAATCTATAAATGTTTACGTTTAATTAAGGTCGATTGAAGGTTTACAAAATTGACTAATGTAAGTTGATATTCTAAACGTTAGATCTACGTTTAGTAAGCGTATATATAAAAAAGTTTGAAATATACATTTCAAATCAAGCGTCGATTTTTAGTCAATGACAGGTTGCTAAACGTTTTATTCATATTTAGACCGATTTCGACTAAATATTGACCAATTCTGAACCAATCTGTGCTTACTGGGTTTTAAATACTCCTTTTACAAACCGGATAATAAATAATTAATTTTCTATTTGCATGTTTTATGAACCTATGAAAATGCATAAACATTGGTTAAATGGTTATCGGTAACAAAAGCTCTTATTTTAAATTAAGATTTGTGCATTAATAATACACTCTTAATAATACTCTCGTCGATTTCTTTTTTCAAATATAAGCCTGTTATGCAAACTTCCGGTGATAATTTCAGAACATAAGAATAAATTTTTGAAGCCCAAAAATCATAAAAATAAAAAAAAAAAATTTTATAAAGATTACTTTCTCAATCTTCACTAGATTATTCACAACTTTGATATTAGACTGCTTTTTGAAAAAACATCTTACCAACAAGTAGCACGCAATCACTTAATACACAATTTTCGTCAATTAAGTGATTTTTGTAGTTAGTGTATTAAGTGTTTGATAGAGTATTTGCATTAAGTGATCCCAGTGGACACGGATGTAAAAAAGACGTCTTTTAAACGTCTTGTCTCACGTTTTGGACGTCTTTTGAACGTTCAAAAGACGACTTTTTTAGGTCTGGTGCCCACTGGGATTTGTGTATTAATGTGTATTAAGTGTTTGATATAGTAGTTATATTGCAAAACTTTTTTTTGCAGTGTAAATATTGCTTAAAAAATCTAAGTTTTATTCCTAATAATTGTGATTATAATAAATACAAAACTACAAACTTTTAAAATTATTTCCAATGGAGAGTCGTGAGTAGTTTTAGCAACGTGTATGGTTTTTAGTAGCATGTTGATATATGTTAATATAGCTTTTACTCTGTGTTATTTCAGTAGAAATGATACAGAACTCTCTAAAGAAATATGGAGATTAAAAGAGAACTCTCTATGGAGCTTACAGAACTCTCTAAAGAAATATGTGAACTTCTTCATTCCATAAAAAAAGAATTTTTATGGAATGAATTTTTTTATGTCAGTTTAGATCCAATAGGACTTTCACTCATGGTAATATTTGCAGAATGTTTCCTGCAATTTTAAAAAAATAAAGCAACCAACATGGCGCTTCATTATAAACCACCGCTAGAAATAAAATTGTTTTTGAGGTACGTTGATGATAGCCACGCAAAATTTACAAAAAAAGATAATGCCATCCGTTTTCAACAAACATTAAACAGTTAACATCATGCCAATTTTTTTTACATCCATATAACTAATAATTAAAAAGGTAATAATGATTTTAACATACATCGAAAAAGCAAAAACAAATATACAGCCCAATTCAAACCACGATCCAAAAATCTTGGAAGGAATATTTAAAGGATTTTTTTATAGAGCTTTATCAATTTGTTCTGTTTTAAATAAAGAAATCAATTTCCTATTAAACGTGTTTGCTGAAAATGGATACGAAAAGCGAAAATTACAAAACCCTGCAATTATTTTTATAAAAATGACACTCAAATAATGAAATAGTCTTATCTAGCAACGAATCAACCATGTCAACTGTATCCATGTCAACCATGCCAACCATGCCAACCATTCCAACCATTCCAACCTTGCCTACCATGTCAACCATGCCAACCATGTCAACCATGCCAACCATGTCAATTATTTCATTATCGTGGATCCAAATATTGTCACCAAACCTTCAAAAAAAATGAACATAGCAAACAAGAAATAAACAACACCAAAAAAATGTATTTAAAGAATGGAAACAATTTGCAATTGGGCATCATAAAATTAAATGTCCATTTGGGTTCTATTTTTTTACCTATGCGGGTAAAAAAATTAAAAATAGAACCCAAAAAGTTTGAGAACCAATTGAAATTCAGCGTAACAAATGCGGATCTAAGAACGGAGTACATGGATATGAATTTAGATGATGTGTGTAAAACAAGAATGGAGGTAAGAATTTATATGATGTATACATATATATATATATATATATATATATATATATATATATATATATATATATATATATATATATATATATATATATATATATAATATGTATTCTAATTAACAATTCTAATTTACCTATTAGTAAAAAAAAGAGTTTAAATTCAAGCTTAGGTTCGTTACCGATGCATCCGCATCGACCTGTACCAATCGGCATCGACATCAGGCAAAAGAAGGCATCATTGCATCCCTACTTTTAACCATAATTTAACTTAATTGATAGCAAAATTGATAGTTTAAAGAAAAATATCCTTTTCTGTTTTGATACAATTCTGCATTTTCTCCTTCAGAACTTGTTATAGGATATGCTCCATCGATTGTTCCAAAATTTTCTGGTAATCGTAAAAGTTCGTAATATCTAAAAAAAAAAATTAAAATTACTGTTTATATATAAAACTTAACTTCCATAAAAAGAAGCAATAGCTGATATATATCCTCTATAGTATTACACACATACACACACACACACACACACACACACACACACACACACACACACACACACACACACACATACAAACACACACACACACACATACATT